CCACCCCAGCGTCGACCTGCTGGGCTCCGGTGATCCTGCCACCTCAGCCTTCCAAGTAGCCAGAACTACAGGCGCATGCTACCACACCTGGCTAATTTATTATTTGTTTCTTGTAGAGACAAGGTCTCACCAAGTTCGAGACCAGGCTGATCTCGGACCTGCGGGCTCAGGCAACCCACTCGCCTCAGCCTCCCAAAGTGCTGGGATTACAGGCTGAGCCACCGAGCCAGGCCTCATTTTTTTATTTATTGTGGAGATGAAGTCTCACCATGTTGCCCAGGTTGATCTCGAGCTTCTGGGCTCAGGAAATCTTCTCGCCTCAACCTCCCAAAGTACTGGGATTCCAGACATGAGCCACTGCACCTGGCCTTTTGCTGTAGTTCTTATTGAGGACCTCACGGCTGTGCCTGACCTGGAGGCGCCAGTTGGATATGATCCCCCTGTTGTGTATGTTAGGATCTAGCTGTGCTTCTTGCTTGGGCCTTGACCAGCCCCTTGCCTTTTCCATTCCTGTTCCCGCATGAACGGGGTGATTTGGCTGTGCGGCAGCACCTGATGCTCAGTAAAACCACAGATGACCCTGGGGGTTCAGGGCCACAAGGGCCAGTTGAGGGGCAGCGTCTTAGTGGGTGTCCCTGCTGGTGGTTTCCCTGCACTCGGTGTTGGACAGCCAAGCCAGGAGGCCCCATCTGGGGTTCTGGGGGTAAGGGCAGCCCTGGGGCTGCAGCACACTGTGGAGCAAGGAAGGGCTTATTTTTGTTTGAACAAAGTGACCTGGGGTCCCTTGTGAGCCCCAGAGCGTCCCAGGTCCCAGAGATGCCGAGTGAGGTATGTAAATCTCATCGTTTGAATGCAAGTACCCCTTGCAGACATTGGGGTGGAGTGAGGGATTTGGACTGAGTGGGCTATCTGGTTTCCAATCCCTGCTTTGCTGGTTACACTTGAAAGGAGGACAGAATGTCACCTCTGCCCTCTGAAAGTCTCCCACTGAGCCTGAGAACCAAATCAACAAAAACCAGATTAAAAGGAGCAAAGCAGGCAGATTTTGACGTGCATAGGATCACTCACAGGAAACTGAGCACTAAGTTGGATAGAGGGGAGTAAGTCGTGAAACGCACCAGACAAGGGGGCCTTGAATGAGGGCGGTTCATCCTGAAAAGGCGGCGAGGCAGATAAGGGCTTGTTTATCAGGGTCTGATTGGACAGATTTTCCTTGGCCTCAACTCGCCGTCTGTGGTGATGAAAATGTCTCTGTTTCATTCCTCCTGGGACAGAGATTTTCATCTCCGGCTTTCAGGAAACAAAGGGAGGTCAGAGTCCGCTTCCCGCATCTGAGGTTTTCATGAGCCTTTAACTCAAGGTGGGCCTGTGCCAAAGTGGCATGTTTTGGGGTGGTCATTCTGTCACCCTTCACCCCCCTGGGTCTCAGGGTCCGCGCCTGCCAGATGCCAGGGGCGGCAACTGCCCTTCCCGTCTCCCAGGGTCCCTGCGAGATTCAGGGGAAGCAGATATGAAAGCGGCCTGAGAATCTTACTCAGAAACGGGTGTCTGAGGCCTCTTCCCTCCCCTCGCCCATGAGGTCGGGGCGGCGGGGAGTGCAGTTTGCAACAAGGAGTGATGGGTAAATGGGTAAGGCAGAAGTCTCCCTGACCCCGTGCATGTCTGTGCTCTGAGCTGCCAAGGCAGAGTAGGGAGGGGAGGGGCACGGGGCAAGGCCAGGAAGGGGCACATGTCCCAGGCGGAGCCGGTGATTCCCCTTCATGACACTGAGGTCAGAGCCCCACACAGGAGCAGAAAGGCAGCCAGATGGGGAAGTGGAGGCAGATGCTGAACTGGCAGACAAGAAAAGGGGCCCTTCCCTCAGATGACAGCTGCCTCCACCTCAGGGGCTGGTGGACTCCTTAGATGCCCGCTGTGGGGTATTCCTTGGGGCCTCAGTGCTGTCCTTCCAGCAGAGTGGGAGCCTGGGGTGTCCTGGCAGAGTCTGGAAGGCTAAAGGACCGTGCAGGGGAGGCGCACACCCCACACATGCTCATAGGCGCACACAGGTGTGCACACGCACATAGGCACACACATCACACGGACGCACATAGGCACACACATCACACGGACACACATGTACACACAAGTGAATGTACACTCCGTATGTATATGCACATGCACAAGTACATACGGCATGCACACATGTACACGTGTGAACACCCACTGCACACATGTACACGCAGTTAGACACATACATCCACGTACAGATGTGAGAATATACACTCTACTCCATGAATGCATGAACATACCACACAAACCACACACGTACAGAGGTGTGTGAATACACACTCCATGCGTACACATGCACACATGTGAACACACCACGTATGCACAAGCCACACATGTGCATGCATGCATGCACACCCACAAACACACCACACAGGCACATATGTTGATGGGTCTGAAGAGGAAGCGCCCAGGAGAGGCTCTGGCTGAGTGCTGTACTTTCGTTTTCTTTCTCCTTGGAACTTAAACAACCAGATAGCCCACAAAGCAACTTTAATGGCAAGAGGAAGGGAGGAAACGTGCAAACAGCCAGGACAGCCTGGCCCACGTGGCCTCTGGGGCTCAGTCCCAGCAGGAGTAGGGACTGCAGGGAGCCAGGACTGAGGGGTAGGGGCCCTGGAGAAGGGCAGGGCTGCCATGCAGAGCGAGACCCTGAGGGCTGCATGGGTCAGAAGATTCCAGGAGGTGTGGTGGGCCTCACAGCACCATTAGGATTTGGAGAGGCAGGAGGAAAAGTATAAAGGAGGGTGAGGAAGGACCCGACGGGCATCTGGGAAGCAGCATTGCATCTGACGGAAGAGGCATGCAGGGTGCACAGCCTGTGATGGGCCGGGAGGTCTCGGGTTGGCCAGCGGGCCCCAGAGCCTCAGCTCCTGGCAGTGGTCAGGGGGCCAGTCTATCTCCTCCATCAGGCTCAGCCTCTGAGGCCTGGGGGCCAGACCAGCAGCACGTGCCAGGGAAAGAGTGAATGAGGAAGCGTGGGTGGGAGCACAGTCTCGCTGGGGCACAGCAAGTTGCCAGGGCAAGAGCAAGGCCCACGCTCGTGTGGGGAACTTCTGGGGCAATGTGCTCCCATGTGGGGACACCCCCAGGGCGGGGTGCTTCAGGACGGAGTCAGTGTTACTCCTGTAGCACAAACCCTGAGCTCCAGGATAGGTCCCCACCAGGGAGGGAGGTTCCTGTTCCCAAGGAGTCAGTGGTGGGCTGGGGGGGAGTCAGGGTGTCTGAGAGGCTGGGGTGAGAGGCATGCAGGGAAAGGGGTCCCAGGGTCAGAGCTGGGGGGCCAGGAGG